AAATAAATAAATAAATAAATAAATAAATAAATAAATAAATAAATAAGACAAAGTTTGATTTCATACTACTTCTACATCATGTCGGTGAACTAAAAGAGTTAAACTTTATTTAAAAGCTGCCCGGATCCCTGGGCCGTGCGTCGGGCGGAGCCCTGTACCCGGTACCTGTAGTAGGACAGCAGGCCGTTGCTGAGGACGAACCACCGCCGCTGGTAGCCTTTCAGGTAGTTGGTCCATTTAAAGAGCCAGCCCTTGTGGGTGTCCAGGCACGGCAGGTGCAGCCCGGGAAGAGTCGGGGAGGGCAGACTCCTCACCAGCTCGTTCATTTGGGTCCCTTTCCGGTGCGTTACCGTCCCCCCTCCAGCCCAGCGGGATGTTCCGGAGAGTCGGGCGCAGTTTGTGCGGAGTTGTCCGCAGCTGTAGCGGTTAGCTGGATCGGACTGCTGTTAGCCTGCAGTTCGTCGCTTTTTTTTTTCTCCCCTGTGAGATGACACAGACCTCCAGCACAGACTCACAGCCTGCTGTTTGAGCTGGAAGGAGTTGTTTCAGCAGCGCGATGATGCGCAAATGATAAAATGATAAAACCCTGTGAAGTGAGGGGGGAGGGGGGCATGATGACGTTTTTATTACAGGATTTTAGCTTACGAGTGCAGATGTGTGTGTGTGTTGGTAAATGTGAAATATGAGATTTAGCCTAAACATCATGTTTTGAGGACGTTTGTAATTGTGAGGACAGAGCTGATGTCCTTATGAAGAAGGACATTTGTGTTTGGTGGATTATCTGGCAGAAACATGGTACCAAAAACTCAAAACAAGTGTCAACAGAAAGATTTGGGACATTTGTCATGTTGCAACGCACTCGGCTCTTCTGCTCATAAATGCATATTCCTTACAAATGTGGCACCACTTAAAAGGGAATCCCAAATATGATTTTTTTGCCAAGAATTATTGTTACAACAAAGACAAATGCTCTTACTGTTTGTGCTAACTTTATATGGATGTAACTTTAACATAAAAATGTCCTTTGATAGTTGCAGAATCATATCGAAATAAGAAAATCAAGGGGGAAAAAAACAACAACGAACAATTAGTTGCTTGCCTTTCTCCAAATCTTTATTTGACACATCAGAATGGTAAAATATTACTTTAGTACAGACAATAATTTAGATAAATATCGTGAACTGTTATCATTAACAAATACAATAAGCAGAATAGTCCAAGAGCTTTTCTGGAGCTTTGTTTTAACAGATTACATGGTGTAAATAAATGCATTAATAAGTAAATACACACATAGCAAACAGAATATTTTCATTTGGCATCATCACAGTCATTAGTGAAAACTTTGTTTTGTACAATCATTTCTGCAAAGTGCTTTATGAAAAAAATGCCTCACAAAAGGGGTTTTAATTTTTTGTTTTTAAATTTTGATTTCTGCTGCTTTCCTTTTATCACATGAAGGACTTCAAAACAAACAGAGACAAACAAAGGCATCCTCATATCAGAAATAAATCTCCATGGCACTACATCAGGATGCTTTTTGTGGATTTATGTTGCGCTGTGTTATTAAGTATCATGTTGTAAAGCCTATAAAATCAGTTTACACGTCACGATGCAAATAAAAACAATAAACTCACACAGCTGGTGTGACAAGAAAAAGCAAAGCAAATTTCTATATATATAAAAAGACAGACTTAACATGTTCAAACCCCTGAACCCCACAGGAGCTTGTTGTAGTAAGGCAGTCAGCGTTTAAAAACCATCCAGGTGAAAAAACGTTGCTACAAGTTTCAGTTCAGAGGTTTTGAGGGTTTGTTGTTGTTTTCAGAGTGAATTGTTCCAACTCTCAGAAGACAAAAAGTCTGCATCCGAAACCACAGAGGGTTCAAAGCAAACCATCTTGCTCAAAAACGGAGGGCAGGCGGGAGAAGTCGAAGGGCGCAAACTTGATGCCGGTTCCGTGATAGAATTTGTTCTGAAACTCCACCCTGAGAGAAAACAGTGAATCAAAAAAAACAAACAAAAAACACTTGAATAGAGGAACACAGAGTATGAACAAGTGATAAAAGACAGTTTGTTAATTTGGTGTCTTAAATTATTTCTATCTAAATGTGGTTATGCTGTATCTCAGTTCAGACACATTGTTCCTCATAATCGCAAACTCTCTAACTTTATCTCCCAGTTCAACCAGTGCAGTGCCTCTGATGATCTAATTCCTAATCTTATCCATCCTTGTTACTCCCAAAAAGAACAGCAAGTTCTTCATCACGAACATCAACGTCAACATTAGGTCTGCACCCTAACGCTAATTTATCATCATCATCATCGCAATAACAGCCTGTGCAACAGCCATATTGCAAAAAAATGCAGAAATTGCAATAACTGGTTAGCTGTAATGTTTTAATGTGTTTTTTTTTCAGCATCAGTCTGATAAACAAAATGGACCAGAGATGTTGCATCAAATCATAACCACTCCATCATGTTGTAATTGAAATGATGTGTTAGTTGTTTTTTAGCTTTGAACCCTGAGCAGAAAGACATGAACACTGCATATCTAAAGGGGCAATACTGTGTGTTTCTCAGGCTTATAGTTATATTCTGTACCATAATAAAGTAACTATCTCACCTTCAGTGGTTATTAAAATGCTGTTTTTATGTTTAAATAGAAATTAAACTTGACTTCTCATTATATCTGTTTCTAAACACCTTGAAATTGGCCTCTGTCTTTTTAAGACAGTGGTCCCCAAACTAAGGCCCACCTCCCCATTTGGTCCGGCCCCCAGAACAATACCAGAGAGCATTTAGTTTTTTTTTCATATATGTGTATTTGTATTTGATTATAAATTTGGAATTTTGCAATAAAATGTTCCTTAGTTATGAACTATTTTCATTATTAACTATTATTAGTTAGTACCGTATTTTTCGGACTATAAGCCACGACTTTTTTCCTGAACTTTGAACCATGCGGCTTATAGACCGGTACAGCTTATGCATGGATTTTTTTCTTCAGCCACCAGGGGGCTCTTATGCTCCATTTGCTTCAACCACTTGCTTCAAAAAAAGAAGAAAAAAAAAAAGAAAAAAGCGATCCTTCCAGAGCCGACTGTTGTACCAGGAAGCAGCGATTTAAAGATAGTCAATGGCCAAAAACTCATAAAAGGGGATAAAGCAGACATTTTTCACGGTGGAATCTGACTGATAAAAACTATGGATCTTAATCCAGGACCAGTTTGTGGATAAACGTCGAGTGAAGAGCCGCGGACTTTTTTTTTCCTCATTGCACTCCCCGGGGAAGGAATCCCATGCAGTGACGTATGCTGGAGCGGGAGGGCTTTCCCACCACAGCTTCAGAGCCAGCATTACCCCGGGAGGACAGCGACACAGAAAGCAACACTGAACAGATTCCGCTGTGTGACGCAGCTTTTCTCAGCTTGTTTAACTCTGACACTGAAGAGGAGGACTTCGATGGTTTCAGTGCACCAGAGGAAGATGAATGAGACGTTTTGTTGGACCAGAAACTGTTAAAGAAAACTACCAAAATAAGGTCAGTTAAATGAACTGTATTCCTCCGAACTTTAAATCCTAAAGGTTTGCTTTTTATGTTTTGATGTTGAATTCACTTTTTTGACAGCAAATCTGAGTGTACTGTTTTTTTATGTTGGGGGTGCGGCTTATAGTCCGAAAAATACGGTAACTACTTCATACATACATGCATATAACGTGACATTCTGTTCCACCCTTCTGCTGTCTGTGCCCCTATCTGGCAACCCCCAGAAAAAAAATCCTAAACCCGCCCCTCTCAAAGAGACAACGGAATAATGGTGAAAAGATTAGGTAAGGGAAAAACTGATTCAGAATGCAGGGCATTTAAGCTGCAGTGGACAAACGATTATTTTTTTGTTCATCTGTAAAGAGGCGGTGGCGGTATTCAAAGAATACAACTGCGGCGACATTATGAATCCCATCACAAAGACAAGTATGATAGCTTCAAGGCCAAATGAGAGCAAACAAACTCTCAAAGCTAAAAAGTGGACTGTTAGTTCAGCAGAATACATACTGTGAAGAACCCAGAGAGGGTTATTTGATTGTGCTTTCTGGAAAACAATAAATTTTTACATTTAGGCACTCCTGCAATAGTCACACATTTTTCTGTTACGAACTGACTCCGGCCCCCCACCAGAGAAGGGAAAAGTTATGTGGGCTTTACAGGGAAAAGTTTGGGGACCCCTGCTTTAAGAACCTCCTTCCTCTTCTGTCCCGCCCATTTCAGCCCAGGGTCGGGTGTGTGCGCTCTGTGATGAGGAAGCTCAGCTTGGAGACACAGTCCAGAGGAGGAAATGATCCCAAAAGGTGGTTTTAGTCCCAACTGGTTGTTTTTGCTCCCGTGCCTGCTGCCTCAGGACAGCACAGGATTTCTCAAACATGCATGAATGAGTCAAAGCAAGACTCTGAGCATGTTTTTGATGAGAGGATAACATTATAACATGATATAAAACTAAAAAAAAATGATTTTACATGATATAGTCCCTTTAAGTAATTTTTCATTTATCGCAAGTCATATCGTCATCGCAATATTAAGCACTGTGCAGTCCTAATCAACATCAAGCAGCACTGAGACTCACCAGTGAAGCCGGAGAGCATGAAGAAAGGCCGATAAGCCCTCCATCACCAGCAGGATTGACACGGTGAGAGTGGCGAAAAGACAATGCACGGGAACCAGAAATTCTCCTCCGACATTCATGGTTATCCTGAAACCCAGGCGCATCACCATGGCCCACAGCACCTCTGACAACTCTAGAAAAAGCAAACAGAAACAAAGTGAATAGAGACAAAGGAAAAAGCTGTGTTATTTTGGCAAAAGGAATAAAGATAGAGCAGAATAAAAGAAGCATGGAGATTGCTGCACAGTAAATTTGCAGTGTTAAATCAACACTTAAAAAGTTAAATTTCACACTGTTTCCGAGTCTATTTGGTCCTTATCTGAATTGGTGTCAATTTAACTCTTTACATAGCGTTAAAATTTTTTAGAGTACAATTTAACTCAAAACAGAGTTAAAAATTAACACTGACTAACACTGTACAGTGTTAATAAAACTGTACAGTATTAATAAAAATTAACACTTCAAGTCAAATAACTCTGATGAGAGTAATTATGACTAAGCAGAGTTAATTAGGTACTCCACTGTGGTGACCAAACAACTGATTCTCATGCTTTTCAACACTGTTGAGTTATTGATGGTTAACACTGGAGGTTCATATACCTCCTATGAGTGTTAATTTGACACTCGACTGTGTTGATTATTTACTCTTTTGCTGTGTAGAGGGGTGTAAAACAGACACTATGAGGTGTCGTTACACAGCAAATTTGAAAGTGTAAGTTTAACACTGTAGAGTTAAGATCAACTCTTTTTAGTGGTACACAAACATTACACAGTGATTTCTGGATA